TTATATGCACTGGGAAACCAAAAAATTTGTGTGACTCGCTTTATTGCGGTGGTCTGGAACCAAACCCGCAATATCTCCGAGGTATGCCTGTACAGTTTTGGTGTTGCACCTCTGATGGTTGTTTTGTGGTTGGAGTTGTTCTTGGAGTAATTTATTCCATTTCTTCTTTTTATGTTGGAGGAATATTGTTGAAAATTGTTTGTAGTCTCTTTGTATAATATATAGGAAGTTGTCTGGATTTTTCTCAAGTTGTTGTAGGATGTGATGATTTCCTTCCTGAGTTGGTCTCTTTTGGAGTAGATTAGGTGAAGTAGATGATTTCTAATCATATTGTTATGCTGTTCATTTATACAACATTTTTAAGAAGGAAAATATGGAGAAAATCCATTGTCCTATGAGTTTTCAAGTCCCTTTTGGATTATTAGATTGTGCTATCATCAAATCAAGACTTCCAAAGTTACAGCCAAAAAACACATTTCAAGTGACAGAAAAATATATGAAACTAGTAAATCCTGTACAGAATATTTTGAAAAGTTCTTATCCTCTGCTGACCACATCAAATAATCAGGAAAAATATAAATATACGTAATTCTATGTTATGCATATTTCAACCAGTGTAAAAAGTATTAACTAGTTAAAAATGATGGAGAGAGGATTATAGCTGCAGTTTTGCAGTCTGATTCTATGTTCTTTTCAAAGACAACAAACTGAAAATGTGCACGCCAGAGCACTCTAACCATCTTTTTCTACCGGCTTGCCTGAGATATTTTCCTTGAGCTCTGCAGTCTTTCCTAGTTTAGATTCCAGAAATTGTGCTCTGCAATCTTTTGGTAGAAAAAAGCCTCATTCACTGTCAACAAATTGTTGACTTTCAGTTAGAATACAGCTGCAGTGCCAGAGCATATCCTTTTACTAGATTAAATGGCAGCATTAGAAACCATTAATTACAGGTTATGTAAAGAACCCACTTTAATACGTGCCTTTTTAAGAACTGATGTAAAGAGCTGCAGAGAAGCCATTTGCAGTCCCCAGTGATAAGTTTATATTGGCTCAGCCACACTCAGGAACTACTCTACATATTTTTCAACACAATCTGCTGACACCTTATTTATTAATTAAATAATCTGTATCTGTAAAGCTACAGAGTGACTTGGTAACATGTATTGTTCAACTGTTTCTTAGCTGAAAATATGCTAACAAAGTAAATGCTGGCAGAAGAACATTTTAATTAAAAACCAGCCATGGTCCTCAGTACAGAGCATGTGTTTATTTGTGGTATGGGTGAGACTGGTGTGAAAGTTTATTTGTAACCTTACTAATGACCATTAGAAAACATGAATTTGAGTTAGTTTCACTTGAGGCAGCATTTGCTATTTGTCAGGATCTTGAACACATTTAAAGTAAAAGTGAAGGCATCAACATGATGTTTTATGTTAATTATAACATGTGTTATAATTAACATAAAACATCATGTTGATGCCTTCACTTTTACTTTAAAGCCTGGCCAATCTATGTAACCCAGCATGAAGTTACCTAACTTAGTTTAAATGACAAAGGATCTATTTAAAAAAAAGATTAAGCTAGAGCATTTGGTTACTGAAACTTGGAGTTTCCAGAGGCAACATGGGGAGGTAACATATTCCCAGTGTCAGACATAAATGGGGTGAATATTGCTTACAAATTGCACTTTGACAACCCTTCTACTATGAGGAGAAAAAGGGTATTGTGTACAGAAATATATATATTTCTGTCTATTCGGTCTATTATATATATATATAATAGACAGAAAAAATATATATAGGATCATATTACTGAAAATTACTACTTTGTCCATGAAACAGACAACAGCCTCTATGATGAATTATTTATTATTGATGACTCCATTGTTTTTTAAACTATTGGAATTATTGCTTAATAAAATACACTTCAATATTATTGTGGTAAATATTAGCATATAACCTTGAAAATGAATTACATTTTCTTGTAAATGAGTTAGCTTTTTCCCTGTTTGGAAATCCTACCTGGATGTGGTTCTTGTGTTGTAAGACAACCATGGATTCCCTTTGTTTACTTAATCACTGTGATAAGAGCATTAAAAGCATAGCAAAAATTTTTATTAGTTAACTTTTGTTTTAAATCAACAAAGGGGAATCACACTACCGTTCTTAAGGGCCAGATTTTGTCTTCAGATTTATAAACTCCCTTTTATCAACATTATTGGGGTTACCTACCCAGTTGTTTTAAAAAAACAAACCCTGTCTTTTTTTCCTCTGAATTATGTCTTAAATAGTAACCATTACTGAGAGCTATGGTGTACTCACCATATAGCATTGTAATCCTGGTGGGTTAAGTGCAGTGATCTCTGGGCCAACCTAAATTGTTTTCCCACAGCTTGAAAGATGATCATGTTGACTTACCAGGAGATTTTATGTCAGGTGAAAGCTAAACATGGTGGTTTCACAGTTACTTAAGTTTTTAGATAATAAAATATAATGTATACAGTTCTTGTCTGTCCCACCTCATTCTATTACACTTAGTTTCTGTTTTATCTCTGCTACAGAATTGCTGAAGTTCTTCTGGCTATTTTTGTATCTTACCTTTGTTTACTAGATCTATCCAGGATCAGTAGAGCTAATGCAGGTGATTGAAGATTTTATACACATTGTTGGAATGGGGATGATGGACTTTCAGAATTCGTATCTAATGACTGGAAATGTAGGTAAGAAATAGGAATTTCTATTATCAAATATTTTATCTATAAAAAATAAAAAATTGCAAGTACATACTTTATAGATGCCAAGTATATGATAGTTTAGATTGGCATCCTCTTTCTCTTCTAAACTTATTTTCTAATATTTGGTCATTTGCTATCTTGATTATTCATTTGCTTAGTGTGTTTTATAAATGAATCTTCTCTTTAAATGGGTCTCCAAACTTGAGTGCAGACACAAGATGTAAATACACTGAAATCAATAAGTTCTTTCAGAGTTTCAGTATTTAATGTTTTGCCTCCTATGAATATCAGTCTGTTTTAAGATAGGTCATTACAATGAGGCAGAATATGTGATGATTTAAAAGTTAGTTGGTTTTAGAAAACATCACAGAAAAAGTAGGAAATGTTTCTACTGAAAAACCTAAAACATCATCAAAGTAATCATACTGTCATGCTGGTAGAAATGTGAGGTTTTATTTCAGTATTTTTGATTTATGCCCAATGTAAATCAGTATAATACGTGTCATTTGATAGTATCAGTTGAATAATTGCCAATAATGTATAGTTAACAAATTATTAAATATTTCTTTATTTTTCTCAGCTTTTAGAGTTGGGCAGGTAGGATAAATCCTGAAAGGAATTGATTTCTGTTGGTTGGATGTTAGTGAATGCTAATTGTTAGCTGATTTTGGGCCTAGCCCTGGGACCGTGTGACAGTCTGGAAGTAGCTCTGGTGTCATTCTCAGCCCGGGGACCACATGAGACTAATAAACTGGCCCTAGTGTGTTCACAGGCCTGAGATCATCAGCTGATTGTTGGTCCCATCCCTGGGACTGTACTAGGGTATGGAACTGGCTCTAGTGCAGTCCAAAGGCTGGGACCAACAATCACTAGCAATGGTTGTTCATGTTGGCCCTGGGACCACTTGGGTTCAGCTGGGCTACAGCTACCCAGCTTTCAACTTGCCGGTACAGAGGGAACCTGGGTTGCTGGGCTCCTCCTCTACTGACAAGAAGTAGTGGCACCCCTGGGATCTGATCTCATGCACATGTGGCATGGCAGGAGGCACAATTATTGGGATCATGAAATTTATATGGTAAAATAAGTGATTATTTATTACATACTTTTTGGCATGTTTTATTGTACCGTAATCTGCCTGGGTTCTGAAAATTTGTGTTCTGGAAATTGACTTCAGGAATGGCATGAAAGGATTCCATGTACATTTCCTCCACAAAATTAGCATGTCAAGTAGGAAACAACTATTTAACAAACTCAAGAGCCACGTGTTGCACTAGATGCTCTGAGCATGAAAGTTCTACTTATGAAGTGGAACTGGGAGGAGAGAGGGATATTACTATGGTTCATCTGAAACTGCTGTAATTGTTTTTTTCTGTCTGCTCCATTCTGCGGTAACTGGAAGCTAAAGCATACTAATTTAACACTAATTCATTCAGAGGTAAATCACTATGGTTGAGCTTCACTTACTGTAGGATAAAAGCAGACAAGCAAAACAATTTGAGATAATCAGCTGAAACATTCTTATGAGCAGTATCTCCCTCCAACTTGAAAGTAGTATAATTGTCTCACCACACCAGGTAACTGCCTAACTTTCATAGTGTTTCTTTTCTCCATTCTCTTTTCTCCCATACCTAACAGTTTTCCAACAGAGTTGGATTTAGTGGTGTGTCCTTGGACTTCTTTACTGATTTATGCTGGCTACCTAGACCTTGGATCCTGGCATGTTCCTCTCATTAAATGCTGCTTTCTGCTGTCCTTTCACAACATGCGATGAAGTGAGCTTCAGCTCATGAAAGCTTGTGCTAGAGAGAGAGTGAGCACTTCGGATAGTCTGCGGGTGCATCTACACATGCAAATGCTCCAGGAAGGGTTTACTCCAGAGTAATTTACTCAAGTAAACCTACCCCTGGCTGGAGTCTACATGTGCAGAGAAGTGGGAACAGATTTGCTGCTCCATCCCCACCAGCCCTGCACTGGCCCCCTGATGCAGCCAGGGGGAGCTCTAGGGAGCCCAGGGGCTGGCAGGGAGCGTGGGGCCAGCAGAGAGCCATCTCCTGGCAGGGACTGGGAGAATGCTCCCTGCTCCCTTAATGCTGGGAGTTGCCTGCTTCAGAGGTGGGCTCCACCATAAGAGCCCAGGAGCAGGCAATGTCCCTCTACCCCAGCACCAGGGAGCTCCTGGCCCCTGCTCCTCAATGGCAGCGCAGGGGCTGAGAGACTCTTATCTCTCATCCCTGGCTCCACAGTCAGGGAGCAGAGGCTGGTATTAGAATCTCCTAACCCCTGCTCCCCATCACAGAGCTGGGGCTGGGAAGTAAGAAATTCTTACTTCCCAGCCCCCACTCTACAACTGTGATCACAGAGCAGAGGCTGAGAGCTCACTGCTGCTGGGGCAGGAGGACATTGTCCCTGCACAGGTTCCAGTAGCAGAGCCCATCCTGGCAGCAGGCAGCTCCCAGGAGCAAGAAGCAATCTCCTGCCACCTGCTGCCTGGCTGACCGGGAGCACATTTGCAGGTATCTTGTATCTACAAGTAGCAAATTTACTCACAATTAGAGCAAGTTACTATGCAGTAAGTGTCTGTATGTGTAGATGGTGATGCTTATTGCACAGTAATTTGCTCTGATCTCGAGTAAAGCATCTCATGTAGACACGCCCTGTAAGGAGCAAATCTACCCTGCTGTTAACAAGAAATATTCAATTGTTTGTTAAAATCATTTGTTATTCCACAAGTTTGGAGTGTAACAAATGTACTAATCTTTAGAAAAGTGATGGATCAAACTTGGGATAAAACCATAGATTTATTTTAGACCAGATACATTTTCTCAAGCAACAGTGAAAGTTATATATTCATATGATAGGGTCAAACTGGGATTGCTATGTACAGGAAAATTGTACCTCTTATGTCAAATAGTTTTATTTTAAAGTAGAAGCAAAGGAATGGTTAAAGGAGAAGCAACTGACAAATTTATTTGAACCCTGTGTAATGCTTTAATCCCTCACAAGAGGCTGTTAAGGAAACCAAGTAGTCCTTATGTGAAAGGTATTGTCACAGTGGTTGGCTAATATACAGAAAATAAACGGTTTCAATTTTCAGCATGAGAAGAGGTTACTAGTGTCATGCCCTTTAGTGTCTTGTTTTGTTTTAAATAAAAACTGATGTTAAAGGCGGTGATCATAAAGTGGCAAAAAATGCAGATAGTTCAAAGTGTTTAGAGTAGACCTTGAGAAGAGGTAAAATGAAAGGACATGCAGTGGCAGAAACAATACCTGTAAGAAGGGCTAGTTAAACTATGCAGACATACTTCTGTATTGCAAAATAACTCAGTGAAAGCCCAGATGAATGTTCAGTAGTGGCCAAAGGCACACAGAATGTTAGGTTGTATAAAAGAACTCCATAGGAGAAATGTGGAATATATGACGTGCATATGACCTAGAAACCTGCATTTAGTTCTGGTTATTTTGGGCAAGATACAAATCAGTCCTGCCCAACTGACAACATGTTACCAAATGTAGCCTGTGAGGGGTTAACATGCAGTTCCCAGGCTCCCACTGCCCCCCTCCCCCATGCTTCTCCCACTGGGTCCTGCTGCTGCAGAGGCCAAGGTCTTCACACTCCCCTTCCCTCGACCAGCTTCTGTTTCCCAACCCCATTACCAGAAGTGGGGTGGTGGTAGGGTGCTTTGCATGTGACAGGGGAAGAGGTGGGCTGTCCTAGTTGCCTTCACTGTTGGCAGGATCAGGAAGGAGGCTATATAGTGGTGCCACTGCTCACAGGTGGAAGACCCAAGCTGCTCATGCTCTATGCACGGCTTGGAGACTTAGGCTGATCACTTTCTGTGCACATGGCTGGAAGGTCCAGGTTACTTGCGCTGCATGCATGGCCAGATAAAGCTGTGCAATCTGTGTGCACGGATGAGGGAGTAGAGTCCTACAGCCCATAAGGTGTGCAGTCCCCCACTCTCTAGCCATGATCCAAATTATTTTTATAAGTGTCTAAATGTTGGTTCAGTATAACAAGAAGTGATTCAGATCAACTGGGCTCTGTGTAGGTGCTTCAGGTTTGGACTGAGTTCAAACACTTGGACAGGAAGTGGGACACATGAGTTCAGGGCCCTTCTCAGCCTGAAGTGATTCAAATCTGCACGTATCATGAAGGCACCAAGTTTTTAGGTACTGGTATACTTAAGTGGAAGTATCTACAAAAGCTGTTTGAATCTGGACTTGGAATTAAAATGCTGAAAAAACAAGTTGTTGTTTAATGGAGAATGGGAGTATCTGCATTCATATCAAACGAATGAATTAGAAGGTATATAAAAGCATGCTCCCGCACATAACTCAACTCCTAACTGATAAACTCTTGCCCCTTCATCTGAGGTATCTGGCCAAAATCAGAAATGGGGAAGACATAGAAATGAGCACTGTTCCGATCCAGGGACGGGAACTCCTATATTTGTAACCAGTTGGTGGGCATTTTATCGTGAACTGGGTCAAATAAGCATTCAGGTATTTCAGATATTTTTAAGGAGGCAAAGCTTGACCTATGAGTTAAGTACAGATAGTCAAAAAGCCCAAGGCTGAATTGATTCAATCTTCACAAGTTTCTCTAAGCTGTGTAGATTGAACCAATACTAAAGTGAATAATAAAAATAAGAAACAAGGGTCTCAAGATGCAGCAAGGGAGGTTTAAGTTGGATAATAGGAAAAACTTTCTCACAAGGAGGGCGCTGACGCACTGGAACAGGTTACCCAGAGAGGTGGTGAAATCTCCATTCTTGCAGGTGTTTAGGGCCTGACTTGACAAAGCCCTAGCTGGAATGAATGAAGTTAACTTGAATCAGGAGGGGAATTGGGACAGAAGTTTTGTAGACCGGTTTAACTTAAATCAGGTAATTTTGGTACTACTTTTATCTAGGTCTATCTTAAACTGGTTTCAGCCATTTTGAAACCAGTTTATGCGCACTGAACTTCTGTTCTGTTACAGGTTT